TTGCATTCACTATGGATCCTATCATGTGCATAATGCGGCACGTTCTACTATTTTTTACTTCACGCGAAACCTTGAACTGACTGCAATGGTGTACTAGGTCCATTTGAGTACCTGGAAAATGTTTTGCAGGCATTTCTGATGATGAAAAAAGGTTCTGGACAGCATCTGGACATGGAACAGTTAAAAAATGCTTCAAAACACAAACACTTATAAACACGGTTAACCACATTTACAAGCATTTGGCGTTTGAGATGCCGGTAAATTCTACTCCTGAACGCAAGTTTGGTGCATTCAAAAAAATGACTGTAAACTCAACTGCCTGTAAACGACTGTAAACGACAGTGTACATGGATACATAGGAAAACATTAGGGAGAGTTCAGGGCTGCTGAAAAAAATGCAGAAAAGCTCCTGAATGTGAGTTTAGCAGCTGCAGTGTACATGAGCCCTTAGTCATCTGACCAAACTATATTCTGCTAGTATTTCACAGGCTTGTCTAAATGTTGTGCAGCAAACTTTAAACAAGCTTCAACATGCTTTATCTTCAGCAATGGAGTCTTGCGTGGTGAGTATGCATACACGCCATGGTGGTTGAGTGTATTACGTATTGTTTTCTTTAAAACAATTGTACCTGCTAATTCCAGGTCTTTCTGAAGCTCTCCACAAGTAGTCCTTGGCTCTTGGACAATTCTTCTGTTAATTCTTTTCACTCCTCTATTAGAAATCTTGTGAAGAGCACCTGGTCATGGCCGGTTTATGGGGAAATTATGTTCTTTCCACTTCCGGATTATGGCCCCACCAGTGCTCACTGGAACATTCAGAAGTTTATAAATTCTTCTGTAACCAATGCCATCAGTATGTTTTGCAACAATAAGGTTGGGAAGGTCTTGAGAGAGCTCTTTGCTTTTACCCATCATGATGTTTCTTGTGTGACACCATGGTAATGAGACACCTTTTTATAGGCCATCATTTGAGACCGAATCAGCTGATATTAATTTGCACTGATAAGGTGCATGATTGCTTTCTAATTACTGATAGATTTCAGCTGGTGTCTTGGCTTTCCTTGCCTTTTTCCACCTCCTTTTTTTCATGTGTTCAATACTTTTTCCCGGTGTCATTCCATTTTATTGCACATAACTTAATTTCTGAATTTTTTGGCTTCTTTGTATGTATGAGTTGTTACTGACATGTGGTGAAAGTTTCATGTCAATAGCACCTTTCGAAAATATGTACTGATAAAAATGATGATGTGCTCAATACTTATTTTCCCCGCTGTTTGAAGAGCCAATTAGAGGTAGAAAAAAAAAAAGCCAAACGCCTGTAAAACAGGTGTTTTTGAGCTGCAGTGCGTATGAGGCCTAATACAAAAATTGATAAATACAGTATTTTCTTTCTCTTTACCTACAGTAATGCTATATAGCAGGGGTCGCCAAACCTTTCAATGCAAGGCCCACAATGTAATAACAGTTTCTTTAACCTCCCTGGCGGTATTCCTGAGTGTAGCTCGGGGTAAAGTTTCAGTACCAAAAGCGGTAACCCCGAGCTACACTCGGGCTTACCATCCAGCATTGCATCGGGAGTCCCTGCAGTGCTTACCTTGTCCTTTGCTCCTGCGATGAGTCCCCTGTAGCGTCCCCGACCATCTCCTCCGGCCGATGCCGACATCCGGCTTCCGTGTTCCGTTTTCCGGTCCCTGTGACATCGGGACGTACGGGAAATTACGGACGGCGGCAAATTTGAAATTTTTTAAAAAATTTCATTTTTTAAAAAATGATTATTACATAGTAAAACATTGCTGTTTCAAAACATTTCACATACATTTTGTCCCTACTGCTTTGTCCTGTCCCCTGCCTGCATTTTTACTGTTCTTTCTGCCTGGAAACTTAGATAAGTCCATGGCGTCCAGAAAGCGTCCCTTTATGTCAAAAGCGGTTTTAGACCAGCTAGAGAACAGCGATAGTAAATCAGAACCACTTGCAGAATTGAGTGATAATGATTCGTGGGGAAATTCATCATCAGACACTGAAAACGATTTTGCGACTTTGCTCAGCGATGTGCGAACTTGGCGCTATATTTCAAATTTCAGTGTTTTTGGTTTGATTATATTATTGAATTGAATGTAATATTATTATATTATTATTTTTTAGGATTATTTATTAAATTATAATTTATAATTTCGTGTTTCAAGTTTTATCATATCCGAATGTTTACTAGACTCTTGTTCGGACAGATTTCAGTGAGTTATTCCTAAATTACAGGCCTACAATAAAAAAAACAACATATTTCCATGCAAAAAAATGGTACCGCTTTCAGCACAAAAAAATCTGAAATAATCATACTGCTAGGGAGGTTAAAGAAGAATTCCAGGTTATTTTTTTAATGTGCAATTCTACATTTCGAATAATTTAACAAAAATGCAGCCTTGGCTACAATACTCAACTCTCCTTCAGCACTGTTTCCCAAAGACTGTCCACTACTGCTCTCAGACGCCACTTCTCTTCTGAATTGAATGATGACCACCATCAGATAAGTGAGAAAGAAGGGCCACTGGTGGGGATAATGGAAACAGAAAAGACTGTGTCGGGCAATCATGCCACATGTTGTGGGACTTTTTGGGAGAGCAATGGGAGTGGATATTTGACACACATCAAAACAGCTTAACTGACTTGCAAAAATTAAGACATATAGTAGCTATATAATACAACTGTCAAGTCTTAAAAAAATTCTAGAAGATCAATTTTGCAGGGAATGAGGGATTTTGGTAATCTGATATTGAATGTCTAGATATAAGGTGCTGAGGATGCAAAGGATTGTCTTTTTATTTTATTAATGCTTCCATTATACAGTATATTCTGTTTGTGTGTGTATATATATATATATATATATCCTAGATTGTAAGCTCCAAGGAGCAGGGCCCTCTAATCCCTCTCGTATTGAAATGTATTGTTACTGTACTGTCTCCCTCCATAAAGTAAAGCGCTGAGCAAACTGTTGGCGCTATATAAGTCCTGTATAATAATATATATATAATTTGTTACAGCAATGGGTGATATATTGTACGTGCTTTCTACTTTCAAAAGGCTTTTTTCTAAAATTGCAATGATGTGGTGTTACGGAGTCGCTTTTAAATGCAAAATAGAATTCTTTCAGTGATGTTTCAATGACTGACGCACTGGGTCACAAGTATAGTCAGAGGATTCCAATATATCCGTTTGTGTGCTAAGAACACTGTAACTGTACAATACACTTCTACGACATGGATTTCCTGCCCTGTATATCAGTGCATGCAGAGGTTTTTGCTACGAGTGGTATTGAGGACAGACTAAACCTGTCTGTTTAGAAAATCAATATAGGGCTTTTCTCTTTGGAGCTTAATGCTGTATTAAACCCAAAAATAAAAAATATTATGGTGCAGCTTTCCAGTCCTTCAGTGTGATGGCTGGATTACTTTCCTTTTTGTGGCTTTTTGCCTTTATTTTTACCTGGTGATCCTGCCAGTAAATCTGTTATTTTTCAACTTCCTATAACAGACCAAGCTGTCCAACAAAAGTGGAGACAAGCTATGTATTTATTTTATGCAAAACCTTTATCCCAAAAGGAAAAAAAACCTGTTCTGCCTAAAATGTGTTAGCTGGAGTCTGGCTTAAATATGTTAGGAAAGTCCATCCCAGTCTGTTAGGCTTCTAACACTACCCTCACTCCAAATTGACAAGCTGCTGTCCAAAGGTGTCTCCAGAGTGGAGCCACAATAAAACCATCCATAGATGGATCAGATCTCAGCTGGTTCAGCAGGGGCCGGCTGAGATTCGGTCATCTATGGGCAGGCTGGTTGTATTGAAGTCGATCCATCAATTGGCTTCAGTACAACCTGCCTGTTGGAATTATTGCATGCGATTACTGCCAGCGGCTATAGCTGCCAGCAGTAATCATTGGGGTTGATTTACTAAAGGTAAATATACTATGCACTGCAAGTGCAGTTGCTTTATGTCCGAGGGGAGGCTCTGAAATGAGGTGAAGCTCTGCAGATTTCTTCCATCTAATCATGTGCAAGCAAAAATGCTGTTTTTTTTTTATTTTCCTTACATATTCCCCTCAGATTTAGAGCAAGCGGATCTCTTAGATTGTAAGCTCAAAGAAGCAAGGCCCTCCTAACCCTTTTGTATTGAACTGTATTGTTGCTGTATTGTCTCCCTTTATATTGTAAAGCGCTGAGCAAACTGTTGGCACTATATGAATCCTTTATAATAATAATTATTTCCAAGTGCACTTACAGTGCACAGCCTATTTGCCTTTAGTAAATCAACTCCATTGGGTTCAGTTAGCAGGGAAGGCACACCGCTGGCAGAACACAATAGTGCTGTGGGAGAGATTCCCCCATCAACAGTGAATGTGTTGATGGGGGAATCGAGCGTTCTTCTTTCCTGCAACCATGAAAATCACATCATTTGTAGCTTGCCTAAGGCAAGTGTGTTGCTGGCCAGATCACCAGGTGATAATAAAGGGAAAAAGCATAAAAAAACCCCAATGCAGCCATCACATTTAAAGATTAGTAAGCTGCAATATATTACCATTTTGTTTTTGTGTATAAAAATGCTTTAAGCTGCCAAATCAAACTAATCTTTTTGCACAGGATAACACAAATCAGTCTGATTTTATATGTGGTGGAATAAGTAACATGTTATGCTAAAATATATTGTTTTCCTTTTTTAGTGTCTCCTGCATTGCTGTTCTCTATATCTGCTAATTCATCAGTTTTTCTTTTTGGATATATGCATTTAAAGTTGTCTTATCACTGTTGTACAAAATAAATTGCAGCTGTTTGTTACATGACAAGTATTGACATTTGTGTCTTCACTTCACTTGCTTTTCCCATTTATTCATGTTTGATCCCACAAAGACAAATGTAAAAAATGTAAATGTTAATCTTTTGATTTATCTGTATGGGACATATATAAACGAACATGAATATTCATTTTGCTAATCTGCCTTTTTTCTTCCTTACAGTCCTTTCTACGGAGAAGACTTTTATTGTGAAATTCCAAGAAACTTCAGACACCTATCCTTCTATATCTTCGACAGAGATGTTTTCCGCAGGGACTCCATCATGGGTATGAGTCATACTAAATTGTTTTGGATCACAAATCTGTTCTATGTTTAGGAAATAATGAATAGGTAGATTGTTTTTTTTAAATATAGTGCATTTCCAGTAGGGCGTAAGTTTTTTTTCCATTATTATTTTTTTGCATTTAGCTTTTTTTAGCATTTACCCTAAAGTATAACTAAAGACAAAAGTTTTTTTTTTTTGTTTTTGTTTTGGATAGAGTGGAGGTGGATTAGAACCCCTGTCAGTTTGTATTGCTGTCTGTGCTGCCATTAGGGAGATTCACCCTCTCTATTTGCCTGTTTTCCATTATCACAAAAAGTAAAAAGAAAATCCCAAGTTGTGGGTTAATATAGAAGGGAATCTTTCAATTGGGACACTAGTTCTGGTGACCCTGGTGACAATCACTGTGAATGGGTTTCCTCTCACTTGTTTTGGCTATGGAAAAGAAAGTGAAAAGAAATCTCCCCAATAGAACGCAGATGGCAAAAATAGATAAATACATAATAAAACTGACAGAGGACATAATCCTCCCTTACTCTATCCAAAATGAAAACCTAACGGGGGGATTTACCAAAACAGTTTCCAGGTTTTGGTTGTCAAAATTTAGTTGAACAAGCTGAAGTTAGAAACTGATTGGCTACCATGCACAGCTGTACCAGATTCTGAATGCTTCAGTTTTAGTCCCTGGTCACACTGGTGCAATTTCTCATGTGATTTGACTCAAATCGCATGACAAGTTGCACCCTATTGCTGAAGCTGTTATATTGGTGCGATTTCGACGGAGTCGGAGTTGCACCGATTTTGAAAGTACTTTGTGCACTACTTTTTGCAAGTTCAGATGCAACTTGCATACTGTAGACATCTGTGCATGAAGTCGCACAGATGTCTCCCAAGCTACACCTTAAGTCGGATTGATATCCAACTTTGAAATCGTGTGAATTCAAATGAAGTCACACGATCTCAAAGTCGGATTCGGGGTGACCGAAGACTTAGTTGCATTTACTTCTACTTCACTGTTTCTATATTTTTGTTACTTTATTACACACCTATCTATTCCATTGTCGTGCTAGCACAGCCCGTTAGTTAAGAATGGGCTGCCAACAAACAGAAATTTTATATATATATATATATATATATATATATATATAACGATTTGTAGATTAACTACTTAGAGGCATGTTAGATAAATTGCTAGAATTACTCTTAACAAATTGTTCTCTTCATTCCTCCCAAGACCTCCTGCTCTTTATCTCCTTTGTCACCTTCTTCCATGCTCGCCTCCAGGACTTCTCCTGAGTCTTTCCCATCCTATAGAGCTCTCTACCCCAATCTGTCCGACTTTCTCTTACTCCATCCACTTTTAGGCCATCCTTGAAAACACTTCTCTTCAGAGAAGCCTAGCCAACCTCCACCTAACAACTGTATTTCCACTTTTTCCATCAGCTCATCCCCCACAGGTATTACCTTTTGTATAATTTGGTCGCCCTTTTTAGTTTGTAAGCTGTAACGAGCAGGGTCCTCTGATTCCTCCTGTATTGAATTGTATTGTAACTGTACTGTCTGCCCTCCTGTTGTAAAGTGCCGCACAAACTGTTGGCGCTATATAAATCCAGTATTATAATAATAATAATTTAATTTATTTACTAAAGGTAAATAGGTTATTCACTTTGCAATGGAATTTTCTTTTAGCTTATGAATGAGTTGAAACTCATTGACTTAAAAAATTCAGTCATGCGCAAACAAAAGTACTGTTGTTGTTGTTTTCTTTTTCCTTTCACGTGTTTAAGTAATATTTGTAAAGTCTATTTCTACCACATTCAGTTAATCTAAAGGAAAATTCACACAGATAATGCATTGTTCAAAGTTAGCAGGATGTAGTAAATACATTTCTTTTAAACACAACCTAATGGTAGGTATTGACTTTAGTGATTTTAATGAGGTTTCACCCACAGGGCATTAACAAGAGCTGCTTTTTTAAAGTGTTACTAAACCCACAACAGTAAAATCAGTCTGTATATGCAGTAAAGCATGCTTGTTATACTCACTGTGAAACTTAAGGAGTTAATCCTCTGCATTGTGTAAAAAGGATGTTTGATCCTGTCTTCTCTGATCCTCCCCTTCTTCCACATTCCCCATTTCATCTCCTGATAGAACACAGCCTCAGGGACACTCTGCATATGCTCAGTTTGGTGTGTATTGCTAGATAGTTTTTTTTCTTTTTCTTGGGAGATTGTATGTGATCAGCACAGAGCCAATCAGCACCGTTCAGACAGAGGACAGGGGTTCTGCATCCTCCTAGGGCAAAATGAAAACTCCTCCTATAAGCTTTAATCAGTTCTCAGCAGGAGACTGATAGAAGTCACAAGACTGCTCTAACTGCTGATGAGAAAAGGTATTTAGCAGTTTATTTTTACTAAAATAATTGCATTTCCATGTTGTGTGTACTGTGGGAGACCAGATATAGTGAATGCAGGGTCCTGGGTTTAGTAACACTTTAAGGCATAACAGAATTCCACTATTTGGCTTCAGCTCAAGTGACGGAGTGATTTAGTACATCACGTGCAAATGTTTAATGCCGAAATCTGATGTGGGGAAAAGAATCAAGCCACTAGCAGCTATTAAATATAAATGAGCAGCTTCAGCTTCAGTACTCACCTGCACCAATACAGCACCTTTCCTCTTTCAGTTTTCATGACACCCGTCATCAATGAACCCATTTCAGTGAGTCTAGGCATCATAAGCCTGCTCCTATCATAGGAGGATGTTGCAGAGAGCAGTGCCATTATGTGGTGTGGCCAGGCAACTTCATAACAATAGGTTGCCATCTTCAACCTGTGTATTTCTATCTTCATCTTCAACCTGTGTATTTCTATCATTGCAGTTTCTCTTTAAGGTTTGACAATAGCTCCGGCTCTGAGCTGCTTTAATTTTGAGTTGAAATGGACATGTACAGAAAGTACCAAGTGCCTTATTGTGCTCTTCTCCCACAATTTCCTATTTTACTGCTTGTTTTGTGGATTATGGGTATTTACAGCCTTCAAAATCTCAGAGAGAAAGCTTTGCTGTCTATAATGGCATTTACATGGGAAATGCAATCTGCTTTAATCCTGGTTTATCTGCTCTTTAAAGAGCTTTTGGATAAAAGTAATTTACGGAACAGCACATGCGTTTTGATGTAATTTTGCACTGCTAGGCCATTTCAGAGACATAAATAAGAGAGTAATGAAAATTGTTTTTAATTTTGTTGGTTTCATCTAGGAGTGAGGCAAATGTCTCTGTAAAGAGGCGCACGTTTTTGTTAATGAATTCTCATTCCTTTTATATATTCCTTTATACAATATGGCAAGTTCCAAGGGCAGGACATCATTGCAACCAATGAGAGCACACATCAATACAAAAGTCTGTTTGGTGCCATTTTTCCTTGCAATTTGTTGTTAAAAAAGGATACATAACTAAAAACTGGACATGGAAAGCCTGAACACAGAGCATTCTTATCCACTATCAGCAGAAAACTTTGGTTTTTTACATAGTGGTCAACTGGTAGGACCATACCATCAGCGAAAACACTCAAAATAAAAATTAAAAACTAGTACAAAAATGAAATTTAGCTAGTTTGGTTTTTAAAGTATTAACAGTGGACAATGAATTGTGCTGTTGTCATTTTAAAGGGAATTTCTGTGTTAGTCTTGTTTATTTATTTCAGGTACTTATATAGCACCATCAATTTACGCAGCGCTTTACATATCTATTGTACATTCACATCAGTCCCTAACCCTCAAGGGGCGTACAATCTACGATCCCTAACTCACATTCATACATACACATACTAGGGACAATGTAGACAGGATCCAATTAACCTAGCAGCATGGCGTGTGGGAGGAAACTGGAGCACCCGGAGGAAACCCACGCAGGCACAGGGAGAACATGCAAACTCCAGGCAGGAGGTGTCGTGGCTGGGATTTGAACCACCGACCCTAGTACTGCCAGGTGGAAGTGCTAACCATTTAGCCACTGTGCTGCCCATATATGATTTTAACCACTTCAATACCGGGCACTTATACCCCCTTCCTGCCCAGGCCAATTTTCAGCTTTCAGCGCTGTTGCACTTTGAATGAGAATTGCGCGGTCATGCAACATTGTACCCATATGGATATTTTATCATTTTTTTCACACAAATAGAGCTTTCTTTTGGTGGTATTTAATCTCCACTAAGTTTTTTTATTTTTTTGCTAAATAAAACAAAAAACACCTGAAACTTTTGAAAAAAAAACGCACTTTTGTTCGTTTCTGTTATAAAATTTTGCAAATAAATAACATTTCTTCATAAATTTAGGTCAAAATGTATTCTGCTACATTTCGTTGGTGAAAATAATAATAGTAATTGAATTTGTTTTTTTTTTTCAAATGTTTCTATTATTTTTTTATTTTTTATTATTTTTTCTTTTTTTTACTATTTTATTTTTCAGCACACTGTGACCAAAGCAATACAATGTTACCATAGTAACACTGAACTACTCTGGGCAAGTGATCAGGTTTTTTTTTTTTAACACATTATGATTGCTAATACCAATGTATTTCATTGATATTTGCAATCATTGTTACTGAATGAAACTGATTCATTCAGTCTTATTTTGTGATTAGCTGTGATTAGGCAAAGCTGATCACATAGTACAGATGGGCTGTGATTGGCCCTGTCTGTATCATGTGACTGCCTTGACCAGTCACAGCTAACAACATAATTGTATGCAATGAATGGCATGGTAGGAAGCCATCCATTGTATACAATTGACATGTGATGTGCTGTGATTGGTCACAGCGGTCACATGACACTGGAAACTGGCCTGTGTAGTGATATGTCATTGGCTGTGTCCCATGGACACAGCCGATGACAGATCGTGCTGCTGCGCGGCCCAGCGGCCACGTGAGCTGCTCGTTTTGACAGGACATCATATGACGCCCAGTCACAACGGTGAGTGTCCCTCCCGGCCTATAGCAGATTGACAA